GAGTAATCTAATTGTCATGTTTATTCAGTGTGTTCATCTTTGCAATTCTTTTATGAGAGCCAAAGAGTAAAGAACACAAAGATTTTAATCAGCAAACAACTCTCCACACAGACTTTGTCAGTACAACATAGGTATAAGTACATCTACAAACACATACAGGTTCTTTGGACTAGGATTTCTTTTTAAGGAGATACTGTATATGACAATGTGAACAAATTTGGAAAAGAAAGTACTTTAATCTTATGTAGAGGTAGCTGAACAGTTCTCTGTTCAGTGATATAAGAGTATAACTTTTTTCAAGTTCATTACATTACACAAAAAAGATGTTTTACAAACAAATGGAATATACAAGCCTACAAAAATGTTTTAAAATGGCTTGATATATTTCTGGCACTCTTGTAACCACATAGCTTGATGCAATTAAAGTGGACAATTGTACATTGTCATATTAAGACATCTTTACAGTCTTTTCCTCCTCACCTTTTGTACTTCTCCCTTACCTCATCTTAGTTGTAGAAGCTATTAACTTATTTTTGCTACACTTCTGCTCTGTAAGAAATATTTGTTCTGCAAATTTAATATAAAGACTTAAAGGTGCATGTGTGTATATATATTTATAAAATATATGGCTATGACTTTCCGAAAAAGCTCAAGAATGGCAACCAATAATACAGGCACTTGTATGTGAGGGTAAATTTAGACCTTATGAAACTCTGACATTAGTAAACACTTCATATATGAGTAATAGTTCAGTTTTTATTATCCACTATTTTAATCTTAACTAAGCAGATTAGTTTCTTGTTCCCAGATAGCATTTATTTAGAAATCTGCTTCAGAATAGTGACTTTACTGAAACTTTACCTTCTTTTTGTAGCTGTAAGTCTTCTGGTGATTTGCTGGACTTTGGAAGAGACCCCAGATCACCATACCTTAAACTATCTGCTGCACCAGTCACAAGTCTCCATTCCTAAACATTGCACTGAAATACAGCTGCTGTCCTGAACACTAGTAAAATGCCAGCACCAAGTAAAAACATCACTACATCACCATCTAAACCACAAAACTTGATTTTCCACAAAGCTCCTTATCTATTCTTTATCATGCAGCATAAATCAAAATGCTAAATCCAAATCTAAGCTTTTTTTTTTTTTTTTTTTTCTCTCTCTCTCTCTCCCTCTCCTTTTTTCCCTCCTCTCTCTCCTCCAAAGATTAAAATAATCTTTGGGTTAAGAAGTCACTGGTTCAGGTGTTCTTAGGGAGCCGTCAGTCACACAGGACGGAAGCACAGGCCCAGTAGGTCAGCCATTCAGTATGACACAGGGTATTTCTTATTGCTACCAGCTAGAGGAAGAGAAGAAATTCAGAATACCATAGTACGGAGACCTTAGTTACAACTAACGCCAGAATGTCAATTAGACCCAGACCATTCTAGCATTTCATCATGTTTGATATTTCCCCCCGCCCTTGATTACTCCACTCCTACCTCAAGTTTATTTCAAGCAAGTCATGCCAGCCAAGATAACTATTTTCATGGAAATATTTTCCTTTAAGTTATTGCTAGACAATTAGCATACAAAGCGAAGGAAAGTTACCACAACTGTTAGAAGTTGCTCTGTACATGAGAATGATAAATAAGTTCTCTGGAGGACATAATAGTCATCTGAGAGAATGTTTTTAATTAGAAACCATACATATACACACAAATATTTGGAAAGGTGACATAGCCAGCCTTTGTTATTTTAATGTATTTGCATTAAATACTTCACTTACAGAAGAGTGAAGAGATTTCACAAACAAACAAAACTATCTCACAAATGGAAGCCTAGAGCTTTCAAGGAACCTCCAGGAGATGTTCAGGTGCCTTAACACATGTCTTCTCCTGGAGACTAGTGAGTATTTAATTATAGTTCAAGCCTTTTCTTGCCTTTTCTCCCTGTCTCACAGGGGAGTGTCTTTTTCTACTTCCTTCTTTTAAGAGGGACTGATGACATTTCCATGGAATCAAAAAAATTCCATTGCTTTTAGTAATCCTAACTCAGTGATCTAGGGGTCAATGAAAATTAATCTCAATGGAGGACTAGCAAAAAACCTGTGTTGCTTATGCCCTAACAACAAAGACTTATCAGTGCTTCTGGCCACGCAAGAAAAGCGAGATTGAGTCATGATTTTCTTCAGCAGAATCAGCAAGACACAGTATCGGACAAATAGTATCTAGAACACTGTGAGAAGCATAATAAAATATCCCCCAATTAGCATCTTATCTGATCAATGCTTTATCTATAAAGTGAAAGTATTTTAAAATCTATTCAGCTGTTTATTCATGCTTCTAATGAATACAATTGAAAAAATCAACAATGCTGTGGCATAATGGAAAGATTTTGTTTTGTTTTTAAACCTCATTACTGAGTTACCAACTTAACTCACCAAAGTCTAAGGCTACTCTTCATCCAGCTGTTCCCTGAACAGGTTTGTGTGTTCCAGCAATTTTTTCCCTTAAAAGGATTTTGCACACTTGGGCTACACTGATCTAGGGCACGTGCACACACAGGTCGGCCTGCTCAGCGCAGGGCGTTTAGTGCACACAGGTTATTTGCACGTGCAGACCATGTGCAACAGAGCCAGCGTCTCCAGGCTGCAACGGATGCAGTGGCTGTGCATGACCACAGTGCATGCACACAAAATTCTGCTTAGGAAATGCTGGCAGGTTACCCCTGGATAATTAAAATAAAATAAAATCACTTGAAATTAAAGGATTAAGGATTACTCCCATGGCAATTTTTATGTCAACAGAATGGGCAGAATATAAGTATATAGAAGATGCCGCACACAAAGATCAGTGAAGAAATCTGAAAATGAGAGATATTTAAGGACCTTTTCTCACCAAAGAAAAAATGCCAGCTTATTTCTGTAGGAGCAATACGGGCTCCTTACATTATGCATTAATACATAATGCTTTAAGGAAGAACTGTATTTAATGCAGCTTTGCTTCCAAACAAAAAATCACTTAATGATTGACTTATGGAGACAAATGCCATAGCAGGTCTCAGCCATCACACTGGTTCAGACTGTGTACGTATTTCTATACATTGTTCACAGAGAAGCATGTAAAGTATCAACTACAGAAAACAGTGGAGCAGCCTAACAGAATGGAAACAAGTTGCAGCATTTCTAGAGAAACTAAATGCACATACAGGATACATATTCCTTCATCAGGGTGAAACATGTTTCAGTTCCATTTAGTTGCTTTGTACCCTTATGGAAAAGTCCTATAGAATTTAACAAGACAGGAAACAGTTTTATTGAAGCTTAATGGTACAGCAGTTACTCTTAACTAATAAATATTTCTGATGATATAATAATGGCACAAAAAATGTAGAAAAAAAACATTAAATTCTACTGCATTTTTCCATAAAGGCATGGAACAGCAAACAGTGCTTTTCTGGGTAAAAGTAATAAAGAAACTTATAGTATTCCACCATATTTAAATTTAAGCTATTTCTTTTTCCACTGAAAGGGAAATGGATTAAAATAAAAGACCGAATCCTGATCACACAGTCAAATTCATCCTATTGGAGGCAGGATCAGTTCCATAAAGCGGCAAACAGAAAGCAATAATATAATAATAATAAAAGGAAAATAGGAAAGAAAGGTGAAATGCTGTTTTCAAACTAAAACCAAGTTACTGCTATTCTCCTTTCTGTCTGTTTTTAACTTCTAGCTGTAAGGCAGGTATCTCCCTAAAATCCACTGTTGTTGTGCATTAGCTGTTATTAGCAACACTACCTAATCTCTGCCAAGGAGACTGCAGTAGTTGGGGAGATTTGAAGCTAACAGAAACCTTTATATTGAGGTGAAATAAATAGCATGTTTATTAAAACATATTCCTTCTCATGTGGCAAAAACCGCCCTCTGAGTCCTACAGTTCAAAGCAACTCCCCCACCTTCTCTCCCCCACCTAAAATCAAATCCCACCAAACTGTTAAAAAAAAAATTGATCTTAACAGCATAAAGGCTTTATGTAAAGAATTTATGTAAAGGATCTACGTAATAACCCACAACGAAATGATACCACATCTTTTCTTCTAGGAGGAGCCACTTCTCATATAGTACGGTTCTATCCTAACAATTGTAGCAGCCATTAACCTATATTGTAACAGGGTTCAGATATTAACTCCAAGTTACTCTCCCTTTTGTGAAACATTAAGGAAGGGATCCTTCGGTCACCACTCCAGCCAATCACTACTGAATTCAACACAGCATTAAATCTCATGCTTCAAGTTGAGCATGTGCTCAACTGTTGTGATATCAGGGACCAAGTCACAGGTGATTCCGCTCTAACAACTAGGCTGGAGTTATCTCAGACAGTCTGTGTGTGTTGACAACTTCATGGCAGGCTGTTTCAAGGAAAAAAAAATCCTTCTTAGGCTGCAACAGAACTGGGGATAAGTAAGAAAACATTCGGAGTATTTGAACACAATATGCTGAAAAAAAAAAAAAAAAAAAAGACCAAAGCAGCTGCTTCTCCACTGCTAATATTGTTTTCTCCCCAATCATAAATACAGGGTAATAACACTATAAATAAATAGAGCAACTCATTTTCCTTTAGAGAATGTACACATAAATAATATACATTTTGAAACAAAAAAATTGTAGTGCAAAAATAAATTATCAAATGGAAGTTGTGAACATTATTTTACACAATGCTATATAAAACCTGAACCATTTGGAATAAAAGACTTTGCAGTTGACTGAAATAATGCATTAACATTATTATTTCTGCTTCACATTAAACTGCACAATTTCCTTTATCCACTACAAAAAATAAAAATAAAATAAATTAAAAAACCTCTTAAGCTTTTTAAAAGGTTTATGGCAAACAAGATCACTTTTTGTTCTATCACATTTGTTATTAATTTAGCAGTGCAGTGATTGAATAACCTTCTCAGAGTTCCAAAAGGAAATTTTTGAAGCATCCTTTGCTCTTTAACTTATTTTCTTTGAAATTCAGGCTTGAAACATCCTGACACTCAGATCTGTAAGACATTATTGCAGTTAGATGAAGTCACAAGAGACACTCTACAGTCAAGTACTGCGGGAGACTTCACAGTTCTCCTCCTCACCATCACCGTGCTCTTGTACGAGACATGAACGTAAGGACACGTCTGATGCCATTCAAGCGGTCTTTGAGGGATTTCATGGCAAGGAAGGGGAGCT